ATAACAAACCTGGCGCAGAGGAATAAAAGAAAATACTGTCTAACAATGCCGCCTCTGAATGGGAGAGTCCTCGTAATGGAGCAATTCAAGAATCAGGCATGCACGATGATCTGGACTAAACTGCCCAGGGGACTTCGGGAGGCAACTGAGAATTGTTCGATAAGCAATAAGGAGAGCCTCTTGGCGTGTTCGGCAAGGAGTCAAAGAGGCGCTGAATGTGTTTCCCAGGAAAGAATAACAGCTTTGTTCCGGCTAGTTAATGCCATTACCTTGAACCACTGAAGCAGTATTGCGGGCCACTTATATGGGTCAGATAGTGACCCGACCGGCATCGTTGCCAAGCCCAATGATGCGTTTGAACCAAAAGACCCAGAGGAGAAGCAATGAAACGGCCAATATTGATGTCGATTTGCACAAGATACGGACTCACCACTTTAATCCCGCATAATCCAGTCCCTTGACTTCCCAGGGAGGGAAAATCTTGATTTTCGTGACTCAATTATTCGCCTAGGTTGGAGATGCAAAAGAATCCTTGAACCCTGAACTCTGCGGTGGAAAAGTTTTGAGATCGCACGGATGGAATACACGTCATTGAAGGCGACACTCAATTTTGCGCCAAGTCTCTCCTTTTCAAATAGTCGTTATTGGATTGAATTGAAATAAATTACTCCTTGCACCGCTGCTGTGGCAAAAATTGAAATAAATCAGACATTCCTGACGTCTGGCTAGGCGAAGAAATCTCGAACACGCTTTATCCTCCTGCTCGCCAATTCACACACCATTCTGCGGAATTAATATAGTACTTTATCATTGGGAAAATTCTCTACATTTGCAAAATGATTTTTATCGATTCAGCCCCAGCCAAGGCGGCGAGAGTGTACAATTTGGCTAGAAGTGGAATTTTACATGAAAAATGTTAAATCATTTTAATTCCACACCGTGAATTCTGTGCGCCAAGAAGAAAAATTAGTGGGGAAATCCATGAAAATCCCTGAGATTATAATGTAGAAAATCATGCAAAAAATATGAGACTGATTAATGTTGGTGCGAATTAAATTATGTTCCTCGTATTTTCGAGACAATTGCTATAAATTTTCCCGCCCCACCGTGTTCGGTGTGAAAGTGCCACCCTTTTGCCCCCATGCGGAAATTTGTGTGCGCCGCGGAGGGGGAGATTGGCGGGCGGCGGGGGTGCTGAGACGTGGCGGTGAGCAGGGTATATTTGTGTGTCTATTTTGATAAAAGTGCGTGTGACGCATGTGGTGACAGAGATGAGAGATTTGGCTTGATTCCCATGGATTTCTTGACTTGATGTTTGTTTAGTTTAAATGAGCTTCGATAACAAATGTTAACTCCGTGACATTCACTCTGGGATTGAATTGTGTGTCTCCTCGTGCCCGCCCATTTTCCATGAGCGCACACCCCCGACAAAGATATAGAACGTGATCAAACTATTAAGTGATTTCGCTCGGCAATAGAGCCACCTTTTGAGGTTTACCACCCACCATCAGGAATACACTCAGCGGGTGCTGTTCCGTGGCGCAAGTGATCAAATGTTCCATATTTTAATGGCCAAATAACTGATAATAGATATACACTCCACGCAGTCGTTCAGCGAAACCCCATTGACAAAATTATGCACAAAGTACCACCTCGGGAAAATGCCCCATTTCACCTTTGATGGCATCATTGGCTGCGTGAGTTAATTAAATGGATGTTTTATTTTATTAGCATACATTTGATCTTTTTGATTAATTTGGCACATTGCGCGAAAATATTCCACATATGCAATTATGACCTACTCACCACAAATTCCAATAAGTGCTCAATATAATTATGTGCATGATGTTGTCATTTTCCTCTCTATTGACATAGCATATTTTTCCCTCAATTCATCATGAGCTTTCTGTATAAGCAGAGAAAAGCACAACTTGGATATATTGAATGAAGTAAGCTTACCTGTGACTGATACTGATCAATATTAACGCCGAATCAATATCAGATATTTACTTACAATAAAAAAAAATGCCACCAATTCTCTCAAATCTGGATGCAGATCATCGGGGGCAATATAAAAACCAATATGTGTCAATTAAATTTAATCCCTTCGGATCCACTAACGACTCCAGTAACACAAACCATCAGGGTGACAGCAAAAACTGATCCTTTGTCCCTCGTTGAACAATATTTAAACAATATTTTTAGTGAATTGAGTCATCCCTTTGTCCGGGTGTGCAGATGGCATAAAAAATATTAATATGTGTTCGCGAGTGAGCGAACCATGAGTAATTATTTAGGTGAAAGAACAAAACATGATAGTTCAATCTATACGGCAAATTTCGAAATTATGCAGAAGCACAATATAATTTAATTACTGCACCTATGCGGTGTCCCGTGGTTGGCTTTTGAGGTAGGAGAAAGGCAGCAGGAGTGGCACAATGGAAACTTTCACATGTGTTTACGTGCGCCTCAATAAAATTACCATGAAAATGATGTTTTAGAGTGGAGTGGAGTCTTTTCTGTGAATTTCATAAAATAATTAAATAGAGCGAGATTTTGCTCAAAGTGAGTAACTTTTTCAACTTATTTTCACTCCCATCCCTATGAATTGCACAATATATCTCATCTCGAGCATGGGTAGCATAATGTGCAGCCGGGAAAAAGTTTGTCTTGATGACAAGATGGGATTTTTTCGAGTCCTTAAAACTTTACCCAAGAAAAATTCCTCACCCCACCCTCAGTCTCTCATGTCAGAGTCAGCGGAGAAATTACTTAATGGGAAATTCGTGGTGAGGAGAAGATATTTCATAAATATTTTTGAGTGTCGTAAAAAATTATAGGACGACACAATTGCTCTCGCTCCACATCGTGGCGAAATGTACTTTATGGCTTCACAATTGCGCCTTGTTTCAACTTAATTAACCTGAGGGAAATGTTCATTTTTAGCATATATCTGTGAGGCTTCCGCGCGCGTCTTGTTTACTTTGTGAAGACGCTAATTAAATAAAATTATTTATAATGAATGGTACTATGGATACGATGGAAAACATCATTCAGCATCTGCAGCATCAGCTGAGTAAGTTTTCTTTCACTTTTCCCTATTTTTTCCGCTTTGTTTCTCCTCCACTATTTGCATGCTAATAAAACTGGCTGCCCATTCTCTCAACTCTGATGGCCTTTGGTTGCCACTCTGCCCCAAAACACCCTCTCTATTTCTGTCTCCCGTGGGATGCGAATGGAAAATCCCAACGAGGGCGGAATATCTCCCTGCTGGGGCAGCTCTGATGGCCAGAACAAAAAATGAGAGAGAGACATAATGAATATTTGGGAGAGATTTTTTGGTCATTGAAGCATAAATTTCCATAATTTTTCAATCTTCAAATAAATTCATACATTTGTGCGTTTTTTTCGTGACACAAAGTGCAGATATATCATCGTCAGATATCACACTATGGCGCCCCAGAGTGGGGAATGGTTTTTGTGTTTGTAGATAACAACACTATAGGATTTTCCACTGTGCAGCTTTTTGCGCGATTCGAAAAGCTTTCATCTCTGCATATCATACTCAATCTTTGTGCTGAAATTCCACCTTTTCCTTCAATACGCCATGCAGCTTTTGATACGAAAGAACCCTTTCAACTCTCTTCAACTCATTTTGGACTCTGCTTTTCGCGAGTGTAATTATCAGCCATAAATAAAAGTAATGAGATACTACGTAAATTTTGCAGTTTTTGACATGTTGATTAATGGTCAGTGTGTTACTCATTCGTGCAAACGAACTTTTTTCCCACTTCGCTCCATTCAATTCCTCTGCATTGGAATGAAAGCTCTCACTCTGCTTTTACACGGGCGAGAGAGGCGTCACTCCAACCAAACTGCCCATATTCCAGAACACCCCAAAAAGCATCTACATAATACATAGTCAACATATGTAGTTACATTGTGGGGAAATGTATATGAAATTTTAATTTAAACTTTCACCCGGAGTGAACAAGTGCAGCTAAATGCTGAAAACTCGTCCATTTGGCATTATGTATATAATAGCAAAAGGGGTGAATTATTTGAGAAGGAAAAAGGTTAATGTTGCGTGGTCAAATTCTTAATAGACTTTTGGATATTGCGAGAGCGAGTTTGGGGTAACTTTATGATAAATTGCAAAAAATTCAACCCCGAGAACTCCCGCCTGGGCCAAATTAGATTCACATACCCACTTCACCAGCACCATGCATTACCGACTGTGGGTGAGGCAAATAAAAATACCTGATGAAAAAATTAAATTATTTCGTATAAAAATCCACCCTCCGAACGCGGTTCTTCGGCACAGTTCGCCCGTGAAGACAAAGCTGTGAGGAAAAGTGAGTGGTGTTGTGAGAAAATGATGAAAAAGCTTCGTCTGTTGAAGTCAATTATTTTAAATTTAATTATATTGTGTGTTGAGATAAAATATTCTCTCCACTTTTTTTGTCCATGCTTGACGCTCTCTCGTTCGCTCTATGTGCAAAGGCTAGAAAAAAGCTGGGAAACAGCACATTTTAAATGCAATTCAGGAGGAAAAAAGGAGCGGAAAGTCGACAAAAAGGGACATATAAAAACACAATTAATTCTCTTTGTGCAGATTTAAAACAATAAATAAATAAAAATACACACAATGAATATAGAGAACAATGAGCAACATTATAAACAGTTGGGCAGGAAAAGTTTTGAGAGATGCCACACGGATTGACACTGGGAGAAAATATTCCCCGGGGATAAATGGGAATTAAAAGAGAGCTTATAAAAGTGGCAAGAATTAGAGATGGTCTGTTGCTGAATTTACACTGGGTCATGGAGAAAAAAAATTAAACTTTTGCAAGCATATGAGTGAAATAAATGTTTGTTTGCTTCCTTTTTTCCTCTTCCCGTTGACAAAAATTCTTCTCAGTGCTGCAGAACAATTGGAATGCTTTTTAATTAGGGAATTTATTTCAATTTTTCTCCTAATTCCTGCTCTCGCTTCTCTAACTTTTCCCCCTCGTTCAACAGGAGGTGGAAATTGGTACACAAATGTCGTCACGCGCCGCTTCAGTGTTCGCAAAGTCCAGGGAATCAAGCATTAAACAGTCCAGGAAGTATTAAAAAGCGCGTCTTTTTCTCAGTTGAGATGTTATTTCAATAAAATGTTTATTTTGATTTTCTTTTTTTTGGAGCATTTCCTCGAGAGAAAATATTCTTCACAATCAATTTTTTGGGGTGCGGGAAGACCAGGTTTTTGGATGTGAAATGAAGAAGAAGAATGAGGAAATGGAGAAGAAGGAACTTTTCAATGGCTTGTGATTTGAGTGGAAAAATTAATTGTTCCACAGAGTTGCACACAGGTAAACAATGTAATGTAATAAGTTTACATTTTGTCCTCTTTCACTTCCAATCCGCCTGGGTAAATCCATTGGGAAAGAGCATGAAATTGAAACGCTGTGGTTTACAATTAAATTGCTGTTTGTCTCTTTGTCTGGGTGCTCTTTCTCCCTTGCTGGGTCTCTCGTAATGCCTTTTTTCTTCTCCTCGACAGTGAGGGATCAAAATTGTTTATTTATATTATTTTCATTTCTATTTGTCTAAGTCATTTTCTATATTATTTTCTCTTCTCATTTACTACACTACGGACTTTCACCATTCACAAACAGTCAAGTTGAGTCTCTGGCAAATAGAGCTTTCATTCTCCCACAACATTTTTTCTCATTTGTTTGTGGAAAAAATCTCAAATCACATTTAAATATGCATATTTTGGTATGGAGAAAAAATTCACGGATATGTTTCTCATGAAGAATCGCGTGATGTGGGAGAAAATAATAGGAAAGAACAGAAAGATGATGAAGTTGGACTTGTTGTTTTACTCAAACTCACTAATATTTATCTGCCCACTCTCTCTCTCCCGCTCGTATTTTCCACATTCCTCCCCTTCCTTTTCCCTCGCGCAGTCCTTGTGGCGCTGCACTGGGATCCCCAGCTGTCAATGTTACAAATTGAATTACAATATGTTGATTCCCGTTGTCGGCTCACTCAGCTCAGCTCAAGACACTGCCATTCATCTTGCTAGATTGATGACGAGCAGCGCCAGCAGGAGCACAGTGCAAGGATCTGCGACTTTCAGCTTGCCACCTTGTTGCATTGCAGCTGGATATTCACCTGCACGGCGAGAGGGCGAAAGGAGATGCATTGGTGGAAAAATCATGAGGTTCATCAGTAACACACCGCATTCAGACAGTTTTGCAAGGAAGGAAGTGGTATAAAAGGATTGAATATTCCAGTGGAGCACCACAAAATCGATAGGAATCGTTGGTTCCATTGAAAATTTATATAAAAGACACTCAGAGAAAAATCCCAAAGTGACGAGAAAGCGAGGGACTGAAAGAAAAAGAGGAACAATCAAAAATTGCTATCGGAAGTTGTGTCGTCAGATCTGCAATTCCTGATAATCCCCGCAAGGCACATAAATGTGGCATCGCATTTCAACAATAGCTCAATCGACTCAATCAAACTAGAATATGAGAGCCAACTGAGAATTATAGAATAAGAATTTCTCTTCATTTCACAGAAATAAAGGTAAAATTGAAATGACAAAAAAGTTGAATATTTGTTGATGTTTTCGCAGTTGCAGCTCAACAAAATACTGCATTGTTGATGCATTTTTGTGACATAAATTTGCGAATCTCCTCAGAAAGTCAGAATGTATCTTGTTGGTGAGTTTAGAGTGATACAAAGTGATTTCAAAGCTGTACAAAATTCAGAGTTCCTCCATGAATTCTTCACTCTAATACATTCCCACACATTTCCATAAGTGGATAATTTAATTTATGAAATTGTGGAGGAGAATTTATTTCCGATTATATTTCAGCGATCGCCTGGCAGGAATATATATTTTGGACTCCACATGGGCGAAGGACTAGCTGAAAGCCACTTGAATGCGAATGCTTTCTCGATTTGAACTGAGGAGTGTCTTGCGATGAGGAGCTATCTATTTCCAATCTCATGAAGGAAGTGAGCTTATGTGCAGAAAGTGGATCCATTCAAGGCGCCCCCGGGGGAAATAAGGGAAAAAGGATGCGGCAGGAGGGGGGTGAGAGCAGGAAAACTAAAGCACAATCATCCTGGGTGAGTGTTAATTGAAATATTTACCATTTAGGACATGAACAGTCACTGTGAATGGATTGGCGTTCGATGGTAGACAAGTGTATTTTCCCGAATCAGGGCTTTTGGCTCTCTGTATCAGAAGATAGGATGTGGTGATTTCACCCTTTTCCGTGATTACTGAAACACCCCCACGTGGTGAATCATAATTAATTTCCTGCAGTGAGAGAGAGAGATTGAGAATTTTCTAATTAGACGCCACTCGAGGGAGCTGTTGGGGGTAAAAGACCAGCGATGATTTTCACTGATGCTGCGGATGAAAAGGCAAAATTATTTCCTATTTGTTCACAATTAATTATATTGATTAATTAAATGCCTCTTCTCCCTGTCACGTCAAAAAGTATAAAATGAAGGGACTGTACAAATGAGCGGAGCGGGATTGAGTCACACAATGAATTTTCCATGACACTCTCACCACCGTTCGAGTGGTTACAGAATGTGTGCCCAGGAATTATTAAGAGTCAACATTCAACACTTACGACATTATTGTGAGTCCATTGCATGCCTGGCGGTGGCTCTGGCAGATGACGAACGATGCACTGCAAATTAAATTGTAAGCGCAAAGTTATTTGTCGGAAAGTGGTTAGAAATTGAGTGAACACTCTCTCTCTTACCGTCAAATTCACCGTCGACCCCTTGTTCACGTACAAATCCGGACCCCCGATTATGGTAGTGATGGGTTCTGGCGAGGAGAATTGAGAGGGAAATCTTATAAATTAATTACATTGTCTTATCGCATTGCTATTTTGCGTCTAGTGGGAAAAATCAGGCTCAAATTAAGCAATAATTGGACAACATTTGCTCCTCGATTTACACAATTTGTCGTGGCTGAGCATTCCACCCCGAAATAATTATCTCCATAGCACTTTTCTCTCCTCTCTTATCATTTTTCCACCACCTCACACAGGGATTTTTTTTCCTGGCGAAGAAAGATACTCTGGCTGGGTGTGGAGGAAAAAAGTGAGAAATTCCTCAGCCTGACATCCTCATTTGGGGCCGCACGGAGAGAGGGAGGCGGCGGTGACCCACAAAAAGGAGCCCTCCCATGTCCATCGAGGACACAGCGTTGATGGTAACACCCTAATTACTTTCCCAGCCAAAATTTATTGCCTCCGAAATCAATGTCTATTGATAACTTTGCTCATCTTCCGATGATGCTCATTTGTTTGCAAACAGAAGGGAATTATAAGTAATGTGATTATCATCGTTACACTCCTCTTTATTACCCAACTCAATAATCAATCGATTGACTTTTATTAAATTCCTCAGAATTAAGTGTGATTCTTCTTCGCAATAACACTTTTTTTTTTCACCGACATTCAACGTCTTTGTTCGAGGTAACCACAGGCGATTTGTTAGGAATTTTCAAAAGTTTCCCGTGCGGAGGCAAAGAAAAGGGAGAAAACACGAGATTATCAAGAGGATTGCAAAATTTCAGGAAATGCCTTGAGGTGGAAATTTTTCGTCATTCCCGGCATTTGTTGGCTCATCCTATTGGGAAGAAAACATGCTGGGAGATTATGTACTTAGAAGCTTAATTATTTCCCTTTTCATCCGTTGCGCGTCTTAAAGCTCTTGCTGTGACTCTCAGAAAATTTCAAAGAAGCCAATTAATTCCTATCCAATTTCGCCTATGTATTAAACAGATTCTTTGAAATCCCACTAAAAACATCAGTCGGAATATTGCTTTCCATTCATTTTCTCTTTTGGCCAAATGAGTTTTGGGCCTTTTTATACACATGTCCTCAAAATTGCAATAATACAAACAAATTGCTGGTGAAATATTTTGGATATTCATTGATATACCATAACGAATCCGGGGATTCTTTGTGAAAATTCGCGCAAAAGGGATCAACATGTTATTGAAAATATTTTCATCAACATTTAGTTGAAATATCTCCATTCTAAATATTTTACATGAATACTGCGATGAATAACTATGAAAGCTATTTTATTAAGCCGATTGGAAAATTCCCACTTTGACTTGTTTCAATGCACCAGCGCAATGCCAATAACTGAATTCAATGGCATTATGATGTCATTCGGGGGTGTTATTAGTTCTGAGAAGAACGCATAGATGACTAATTAATTGGACAAAGTGCAAAGGATCGGCCAGGAGTGTGTGAGGATCCATTCAGAGCACCATAAAAATAATTGTTCGCCATTATCGCTCCCGGGAGATATTTTTCCAAGTCATAAATAACACCCTAGCTTGATTTTATAAATAGATACTTCACTTTACTGGGCAATATTGTGAATTTTCAATTTTACAGCACACTCAAGCGCCCAACAGGGGGAAAAAGCGCTGGATGTGAAATGCAGAGAGCTCTGTGGTGTAAAGTTTATGGCACCAGCCATAAAGCAATCCTGACAAGTCGTCACTGTTCCTGTACACTTTCCCATCAATTTTGCAAACAGATCGTATTTGTCGAAGTTCAAGTGGAGGCGATAATTCTCTATGAACGCTGGAAGATTCTGGGCTAGATAGAGGAAAATCTATTAAGTCTTTTTATGTATGACAGAGAAAACGTTAAAAAAAAATTTACCATAAATATGGCTACTGAACGGCAAAACTTTCTTGCTTCCCAATACAACTTTTGACACTGTGTTGGGAAATTCTACACTCTCCTTCATTTGCACCAATGAAGAGTCGCCTCACACACTGTATTTGATACAGACAATTCTGTTTGGAAATTGCCTAAACTTGTCCCAACTTTTATAGTTCATTTGATGTGAATGTAAAAAAGGCTCGAAACAGTTGAGCGACCAGAGAGAGAGAGAAGCACATTTGAAATCTCTGAGGCAATCGGTGGAAATTTATGAACTCGAAAAGTTCACCCTGTGGAAAGGCCTTCCCATCCCTTATAGATAATTCATGTGACAATTCAAATGACTAATCACCCGAAATTCTGTAACTTTTTGCGTCAGCAACAATTGGTGCAAAATCACTGGGGAGAAGAGCTTTTTTTCTGCCGAGGTCTGTCAGTGGGATTTATGTGAATTGTGGGTGGGGGAGGGAAATGTATTCGGATGGTCTGGTGAAAATTACACTGATGAAAATTTCAACTCGGGTTGATTTTCGGTGTTTTTATTCGGGGAGTGAGTGGAGGGACTTAAACTTTGGCCTCCGGCCCAACATTAACTGAAGAGGCGAAAACTAGCATGGGAAGATGTAATGCAGAGGGAAAGTTTGATTAAAGCACTCACCAACAATGGACAGATACATGGAGTGACCGATGGGCGGTGTGGTGGAAACTTGGCACTCGTACACTCCCGAGTCTCTCTTTTGCGGATACCTAATCTGTGGGACGATACATCATGTTAAGCATAGATAGGAGAGCCATTAATGTGCATATAGAGATATCTATTTATTAAAATATCATTATCGATCCGATCCGCTCAAATCACCAACAGTTGACGGAGATAGTTGGGGACAGTAATGAGATTTTAAGCACCGCAGCACACACATACCTGAAGTGTCCAGTCTTCAGTCTGTGGGTTGTGAACACTCTGGAATCTCAGGTCTGACGTGTACGTAAATCTTCCTGTTGTGAGCAAATGTATATCTCGATGTCGAATCCAGGAAACCTACAATAGCGCCACACATGCATCAAATGTCTCCATCATGCAAATGTCTCTATTGAGGATTTAACACAAATAATCCCACATCGTAAATTCTATTAGGACTACACACCCTCTGGCCACACATCCCACACAGTGGCCGAGGTGGAAAACAAGGAAAAATGACTGTGCCGAGAATGAGGAGTAGACATTTCGTGCAAAAGTAATTTTCATACTTCCAACATTTTCGCAATGGTAGTTTGAAGCCTCTGCCCGGAAGGAGCTTTTTATTGCCCCCGGAAATGTCTCTATCTCGCATTTCACGTTCGCCCATCTATCCCTCACCCCTTGCGGCCCCTCGCCAGGCATAAACTACCCTGGGTGTATGAAAAAACCAACAATAAATTCCTTGCCTCCCATGCGCCATAAAATTATTATACGTGCATTTCTATGTGAGGAGATCTCATCAAAGTTTTGCGCTATTGCTCCATACACAGGAAAAGGAGCACCCCCTTGAAGTGTGGAAGAGATGCGAATCGAAATAAACAGTAGAGAGATAAATTCCCAGACTCAATCTGTGTCTATATAAATTTTATGAATTAGTGGAGGAATTAAATTCGCACCGAAACGGATTTATTGATTTTGCCCACATCACTATGGCCCCAAGTTAGCACTGTAAATTTTTCCTCACACTTCCCACCCACCCCGAAAACCACCAATAACAAGAGCTTTCTCATTCTGCAATTTCACCAGGAAATGTTCCTGGCACCAACCATTACGCTCAGGTACAATGCAACTTCCCACATTACTATTCCATTTGGTGACAGCTTACCATCGTAAATGAGCCAATTTTCTGCAAATGGACGCATTCTCCCTTTGATTTCGTAAGTCATATCGATGCTTTTTGGCAAATGGGCCAATGCACTCTGGAAGTCTATGTCTACAACTAAATTTACACTAAAATTGCCACTACTCACTGAGGCATTTGCATGCAATTGACATAGAAAAGATGGTCTCACTGAATTGGCAAATCTCAAGTCATTTGCAGCTGTTTTTAAGCATGTGATATTTTTATGATCTTCAAAGTGCTTCCTAATATCAAGTGTGCACTTGTTATGGAATTCACTCGTAAGCCTCAATATTTCTTATCTCAATGAAAAATCAAATAAAAGGGGTGTTACTGACAGAGTACATTATATTCGCTTTTTATGGGAACTTTATTGGGCTGTATTTACAAACTCTGATTTATTACTGAGATACTCAAATCAGGAAATTTACGCCTGACTCACAATGAAAACTCATTGGGTGAGTTAAAAAAAATTTCCGCACTTCACAATGCCTTTGAGTAAATAGGGGAAAAAAATTAATTTGATCAAATGAGTGAATAACGAGTGAAGCATCCCAAAGGCTACATGAATAAACATCAATTAGCAATTTAATTATGAAAATTTCCACGCTTATCAAAATAATGTGAACATATTGTGAGAATAGTACAAGAGTTTTTCTCACTGAATTTCACACCATAAAAACAACAATGCGATCTGATGAGTGACGTCACTTAATATGCTCTTCTCCAATGGACACGATTTCAGAATGGCCGGAAAAAGTCTCTGATTGAATTCTTAATTGAATGACGACGTCTTCTATCGCAATTATTCTGCAGCACAGTGACAAGATGATTCACCATTATAAAAAAAAACCCCTATTAAAAGAACGTTTTCAGCATGAATGGCGCATCAGAGCTCTCAATGGGAATATCTCGGACTTGTGAAGCTTTCAAATCAAAAGTTATAGACATTAATAGATGAGAGGGAGAGTGGCTGAAAATGCTATTCGTGAGAATTGCTTGCCAAATTTGTTCAGCACCTGGAAATATCGCTCCTGCCACACCCCCGCGGGAGCTTTTACAGAGGCACGAAAAATGCAGGTAATTTCATTTTACGATCGTGATAAATAAATATTTCTCTGTGCGCAGTTCTGCGTCTGTATCGCTAAATATTGTGAATTTTTCTCCCGCGGCTTAGGCGCAAAGTGTGGAGGTGGAGAATTGTATAACACGAGATTCTATGCCTTGATTATGAATGATGATTTTTCTCATTATTCCTATTAAGATATTTTTGCGTAAAGCGCATCAGTATCAATTATAGCGCGCGGGGGGAGAAAATTTGTGGGGTGCTGAAATAATTTGCTCTAATGATAATCCTCCATCATGTATGAAAAGTCATCGATTATTGTTTTCCACCCAATTTTGCCAACATCCCCCTCGAGATCCGCCCAATTTTCCAACCAACATATCACTTTTCTCGCCCTCGAGTGAAATCCATGCAAAAAAGGTGTCGAAGAGATACAACTTCAGGCGCTCTCGGGGTTTTTTTTTTCGAAGGAAAACAGACACGCGGGGAAAAGTCTATAAAATTGGTGTTAAAATTCGCTACATTAAATAATTTCTGGTTGTGCTTGTACCGTCAATTGCTTTAGTGGAAAATTTATTGGGGTTTATCGAGTGCGATGCCGCGTGTTTTCTTCACTTTTCCGCCACCCACACCACTGATCAGTGGCGGTTGTGTGGATACACACCCCCTGAGAACAGACAGTTGATGCAAAAATCAATTTTCAATTTCCCAAGACCACTCGCACACGGCGAAAAGAGATGAGAAAAAGAAGAGCATGCTTACATATCTCCTTTACACCTCCACAGCTTGTGAAGTGTATTGCAAACAGTTAATCAACATAAGAGATTTTCTTATTTACAGAAACTGCTCAAGTATAGATTGTGCTTCAATGGGGATGCTGCTTCGAGCACCTTTTCATCATAAACTTTCTCTCCCAGCATCTGGGCATCAAACCCGTGATGGAGCTGCACGCCAAGGCGGCCGAGTCCCAATCTTCAAATTGAAATTTATCTGCCAAACTTTCCTTTTTAGTTACGCGTGCAGGAAAGTGTGTGTGTGTTTTCCGTGAATTTATGATACACACCTCTTCCTTGCCATTCGACCGACGACTCTTGGCTGCGACTGTGGAAAGAGTTGGCTCACCAAGTGCTTAATATTCACGGTGAGAATTTCATTAATTCGAGTGATTTATTGGCCGAGTGGATGCGGAAGGGGAGAAGGAAATCAAGAGGCCTCTTGGCATCTCCTTGGATATGGAAATTGCACGAGACGCGCCCGTTTAGGGGCCACTCGAGACTCATCGGCCGTCGAGAGCCCCCGCGACCCACACCTCCCAATCTCCGTCAAATTCCTCCTCCGCAAGATATCGCCGCTTTTCCGCCACTTTCCCACCTCCCCGTGAATTTATATTCATTGTGAGGCACACAAGGAGAGAGTGAATGATTGATTTATACCGTTTTGTTGCCCAAATTGTGTACACGACAATTGAGTTGGGCGGTTTTTCCCACGAGGGCTGTAACATTTTTGGATGCTGAAACATCAAAATATGGTCCATGTCTATCATGATGTGGCACACTCAATTCCGTTGCAGCCTCCATCACTGAATCATAAAAATTATCAATTTGATGCAGACTGACATCCTTCTCCTCCGCTGTGTCGAATGTGTCTGTCGTTGCTGCTGCACAGGATGCGGAGTGTAGCATAAAAAAGAGATGGGAGAACAAAAAGGGGGGAGAAAAATCGTTATCATGTCAAACATGGAGTTCAAAGGTGACGAGGGATAGCTTTCCATACAAAGAAACATTTTTCACGATTGAATTTTTGCTGGCAATAATTAATTTCAATTTTCCACTCTACGCTCTCCGGGGGATGAATTGACATGGATTTGTGCCCACAGTCAGAGTTGTGTTTTTTTTTCTTGTATACTTTTTGTCCAACAAAGTAAAGGTAGGAAAAAAGCTCCATTACAGAATTCATTCCTAATGGTAAAATCATATATCTGTCACTCAGTCCCCTCATTATACACGCATTTTGCTCTGAGGGATTTTCAATAAATGGGAGATTCATAAATTGAGAGGATCAATAGATTCAGTCAGCACATATTCATATTTCTCAGCCATTCTCTTCACGGCTTCATTGAATGGGTCTCAAGGACAAGAGCACGGAGTGAGGCTGAAAAGGGAAAAGCTCCAGTGCATATTGTGGAGAATATATCTTTCCCATTTTCCACTGATTTATTGCACATTTCGCTCCTCGTGTAAATTTTATTGCACCATTCTCTCAAGGGAACATCAATTTCTATAGAGCGTGAGTTCATGTTTGTTTCACTCTCTGGAAAATTACATTTCGAAATAAAATTAAATACCCACTTCCCCTCCACGATAATGTGCGATATAATTAAATTGCACTCGATGCCAAATGACGCAGCTGTTGTTGAGAAAAAAAAATGAATGAGAGAATCACAGACAGAGAACAACTTTTAACCCAAAAAGTTTCCTCCAAACCACAATTGCAGTCACTTTCTTTAATGTCCCTGCGGGACAGTTGGGAAAGAATTCCTCTCTCTCTCTCTCTCACTCACTCGAGTGTGCGGCATTTAAAAAGACATAACATCATATACAATATTAATATTTATCAGATAGAACCGCAATTATTCCAAGGGATTGGCGCTATAGGATTTGGGCGGGACGGTTTCACCAGGCGCCTCCACTGACACACCACATTTCTATGCAAATTTTATTCATTATCAAATCCTATGCAAAATAAACTGCTATCCCAGAGATTTCCCTTATACAATTTGAATTCAGACGCTTGGCTGTCCCCATGAAAGGAAAATATTTGTCAAATCATTGGACAATTGGAAAATTTTTCCGCTCACTTCTTTCGTACATTTTCCATGTATCCTGAGTAGCTTTGCATGGGAAAATTATAGTCCTTTTAGCCTTTGGGTATTGAAATGCTGCAGAGAAAGTCTAAAGTATTCAGCTTCAATTTGTCAAGAGAAACAAGATTATGTGCTGAAAAAATATTTCAAAGGGATTCAATATCACTTTCTATAAGAAAAAGTTTTATCAGGGAAAAGGAAAACGAATGATAAACATTGATTCGAATCTCTTCCCGAACTTCCAAGTGTACTATATTTTAATAATACTGAGTGTAGAGAGAGAGAGAGAGAGAGAGAGACTTTCCCTTTTCGATATTTTTATTTCAAACTTGCTGTTGGAATATTGTGTAAGGATGAAACTGATTTGAATATAATTTTAATCTGACGCGTGTTTCTCTTATCCCAGCTTGAATTTATACAGTGTAGAAGTATTTAGAAACTTTATAAATTTAGCATAATATTGAAATAACAATGAAAGCAGGTGCATTGTATGGTGTTTTGTGTACAATATTACCTTCATGGGATTAGTTTACATTACAACTTTCCGGCAGTTCGGCTGCTCATTATTCATTTTCAATCAACACCCGCTCGTATTACTGTATTGATAACTCGGAAGGAGACTGTATATTGTCAAGGGTTTTCGGTTTCAAAAGGACACTGCACCGCCGTGTGTTGCTTTCTCAGCAAATGAACTCCCAGAATTGTGTCACTTTAGCCAGAGTTTGGGTTGAAAACTCAGCAGCAAAACCAGCATTCCTGTCAATTTATTGCGGCAAATGCGACAAATTCCGATACATACAGAGTTAATAAAACATTGATTTCGCTCTTGCTCCCCTTACTTGAACACTTTTCCTCGTGGGGAGGAAAATGGAATCACGCTGTGTTGTGTTGAAACAGGGTTTGGTATAATTTTTGGCACATCCCCCAACTGAATTCGTGGACTTTATTTCGGTGGAAAATGAAAGGGAGAGTGCGGACAAAATTGGCCATCCTTCAAATAAGACATAACTTATTTATAATCTCCACCCTTCATCGAAAGTATGTGCGAAAAATGGGACGCGATGGCGAGAAAGCAAGGGAATCACATTTTAAAATTAATATTATGGGAAAATACACTCAAGGAGCATTATTTTTTAATTCACAGATTAAATATTAAAGTTGACTTTTTCATCTGCCTGAGCGGCGCGTCCTCGTTTTAGCAAGTGGCATAAATAACTCTTGTGCTATATGAGAGTGTTGGTAATAAGTTATGAAATGGAGTGACAGAGGTATAAATGGAACAATGTCCTTCCTTGTCGTAATTCAAATCCAACATATACACAAGTGGAGCATCCCCAGTTGAATAGAGTGTCAAGGAATGGGTTGAAGGAAGGTGATATTTGAGCTTTTTCACCCGCTCTCGAGCTTGTCTGCTGCTTCTCCTCCCGAAAAAAAACCCTGCGGGACAATGTATGGCTGCTTGTAACGAGAGACTCATATGGTGGAGGGCAGAGGAAGAATTATTTGCAAAAACGGGGTGTTTGAATGGGAGAGCTTTTCATTGAGAAAAGGAAATACAAGAGGGGGAGAAAGAATGCCAGGAAATTTAAGAAATATTTCATTTCACTCCTAGCGCGCGCCATGAAACAATCAAGATCCATTAATATATCTTAAATTTGGCATTTTAGAAATTCCACACTTGTGTGTGACAAATGGAAGCTTTTGAAATGAATTTGGCGCGTGTTCTAAATTAAACCCTGGTTTTGTCATGTTCAGCAGACTACGACGTTCATTAACCTTTTCGGGGTGAGTAAAGTCTTATGAGTGTACTTACAGTGTAATACAATGTGAAAAGCTGTGGTGGGCAAAATTGTGCTGGAAACATTAACAATATGCTACGTTTCGTTGAAAAGTCTGTGGTCTAATTGGGTAAAATTTAGTACGGGTATCTCTGAGCAAGGGGTTGAATAATCTTGTAATTTGGCAAATGGAGAAAAATGGTCAGATTGGTTGTTTATCTCAGGCTGAATGGCCCTGGCGAATGCCATTTTGTCGAGATAAAAATCTATAAATTCTCTCTCGGGCTCAACTGTGTCGCATTTTGTCCCACCCTCAGCACAAGTGCTAAAGATAAACAAATCTCTTATCTCACTTTGTCATACAATGGTTGAATTTTGGAGTAAAAATTTTTCGTGAATCATCCTCCGGGTTGTAATGGGGGGGAGGGCAAATGTGCGAGGAAGAGGGGATGAGCTAGAAAACATTTTAGAAATATTAGATATTCTTGCAAATTGCTTCACATGATCTCGAATCACTTTCTTCACTGTGTGTGTCCTCCTTTTCCACACACATTGTCATTGCTTAGAGGAGAAAGCGGGAGGGATAAAGACACCCCCTCGCATAGAAAAGAACGAGAGAGAGTGAGAGAGAGAGAGTCTGTGAAAGGAGATGAAAATGCGATGTTGATTTTGCTTCTTTTGCCACACTCTCTTTCCCCATTTTAGAAAGATATATTTCCAACAATAGATAATGGTATCAAAAGAAATGCTATTTGCAAAAGTCTTTCTGAATGAGTGAACTTCTCTCGAAAATTTTCACAGAATATAAAAAGGATCTCCTTTTCACCACCTAACATATTCAATTGAGGCACACTTTGGGAGATTCTGCTGAGAAAGGAGAGTGTACTTTTCGAGAGCGCGTACTCAAGTCAATTTTCTTTCACTCTCTATTCATGAATTTCATTCCTTTCTGACACTTTGGACGCTGCGGCTTGAGGGAAAACAAGGGCAGTTGGGAAATTTAGGTGAAATGGTCTGCAAACTTTCTACATACAATCCAAATAAATATGTATGCGTTCATACATCACTGTTCTTCTAAGTAATGAATTGAAAGGTCGAAGGATTGTCACATTTTTACTGCAGAACGGTTCTCTTGTACTTGAATGGCAGCGTTGCTGGGAAAGAAATGTTTTTCCGAACATCCGAATGAAGGTTACGAGTGCAGTGGTGAAAGAATTGCCAACCCTCTTGACCTCCACAATCAGCGCGTATATAAAATATATGTGAAAATGGGATGCTTTTGTTGGCTTTAAAGCTATCGTAAAAACCATAATTTTGCCTCGCTAATTCAAAAATCAATACACAAGAGAGTGTGGTTGTTGTGAGCGTGTATACTTTTTGGCTGGGTATCCTTAAAATGCTTCTAAGGATTTATGTCAAATTTAATTGCTCCATTTCTTGCAAATTCGAAACTTTTCCACAATGGCTTTAGTCAGTGAAAAGAAGTTTCTTGGTCACCAGAATTTGCTCTACTTTCCCCTATAGCGTTCGTATTTGTATAGAGTCTGAAGGGAAAAAAGTGGCGAGAGTTAGATTTAAATGCTGAGAATGGTGCATGCGGGAGCACGTGAAATTTGTTGCCCTCGGCAGGTGGTGAGATAGTGCAAGAAAGTTAAAGTGTTTGTGCGGTTTTTGCGCTTCACTAAATCCTCTCTTTCGCTCCCGCTACATAATTCTGATAACTTTATTTGCGAATGCAAATTAAATTTGTGAAAATCATGCACATGTTCTCGCATTTGGAACTAGAACTGCCTGCCAGTGGGGGTGGTTGTGCCGGCGGGGGAAAAAAGGTATAGTGCCAAGAGGGCTGGGAGGGTGAAAAACAGCATGTGATTTATAATTGTATGAAATTATAAGCAAATTGTTTCTTGACTTCTCATTTTTCTGCACCTCGTTTACATTTTTTGCGTACACTCGTCGTGTGTGTGCGCCCTGTGCGAGACAGATTGGGGTGAAGAGGAATGCTTAGCCGGGAAGGTTATGTAAGGAATCACAGGGGTTGAGGGTATTTTCATTTATTGCGAAACCCATGGTGTTTTGCGCCTTTCTCTCCCTTTTCACATGTGTGTGTAGGTTGCCTTTGCTCCCATCCGACATGCCAGCCAAGGGAACTTTCGCCTCTTTCATATACTCACAACACAGGCAGAACTTTTGTTAAACTCTTTTACAATATCACACAATAAAGTAAGGAAAAATATGAACTTTTGAGTAACAATAATAAATTTGAGAAGCATTTATCCGCAATATAAATGTAAAATGCTTTTTGTATAAACTTGCTCCACCTCATCTGCACAGCCCCACGATCCCCATGGCACATACTACACATCATCCCCATCAATGACATGGCATAAATGAAGAAGTGTACGCATTATGCATGGCGAGAAGGAGGGTCTCTTTCGAGGGGATTGTTATATTTTCCTTTCTGCCACGGCATTCTGCACAATAATATGATATTGAAAAGGAACTTCCCCGCGACCGCCCCACAGTGAAAAATGAGTGTGGAAAATTCATGAAAGTCCCATGATTTTTTGCTCCATTCACCCCAGCATCCCCGGGATGTGACTCCGTACGCATTTCATTATTGTTTCTACACTTTTTGCGTACACATTATGTGGATGTATGTAAATTAGCAATGAATTCACCATTCTTTGCCATAGTCGGGCGTCAGGGTGGAAATTGACCCCATTTGGCGCGGATTGAAATGCTGGCGAGCGCCGTGGGAAGCGCCCAGGATATACAGATTATATCAGAATCGATCTGGAGAGTTTTCATTTTGAGCCTCAAAAATTTCATCACCGCCAATTCCCCTGAGGCTCCTCGGCAATAACATAAACAGCCATTCTCGTGCCTGATATGCCGTGTGGCGGCATTTTCCCGAGGAAAGAGCAATTTCACGGTGACAAGTATTAAAATATCACAATATACTCGCAACATTTCACCCAGTGACATACCGAATAATCCGTGTATTTCCGACCGGAATTTTCAAATCCGTTCACTTTCCAATCAATTACTTACATTGTATTTTGGACTCTAATGCAGCATCAAAAAGCAGCATAAATTGATTACAACGATGGTCTATGATTACCCATAATACGATCAATTATTTGCTGTGGTAAATACATTTTGCGGTGTCTATTTCTATTATTCACAATTCTAATTACAAAAATATATATATATCATTGAAATTGAATTTCTGCATTCACAATATTTCTGCCATTCTGCCTTGCGAACTGCAAAGTTTTCCCGAGTTTAATGGCTGTAGTTTGCTGAAAACATTATCACACCAGTATTCAACGTGAAAATAATACTAATGCAAATGTTTTGCAATACAAATAAGATCAGTGATTAAAGTAGTTAAACTATATAAAGTTGTTTAGTAGATTTCATAGCAATTTGCTAGTAGATTTGGCCGAATTACTTACACTGCTTAATGTCCAGTGTTTGCTTGTGGGTGCAGTGGAGTGACTATAAATTCCGTCATTAGACTTTCAAATGCAGCCAGACACATATTGCAGTCTCCAATTCACAGCAACTCGTGTCTCAGTGCGTTGAGGGTGGAAAAATGTTCGAATTTCTTCGCAAATATGCAAACCTTCACACTTTCTGCACGGTGGGTTTGGTTGCAAAACTTGTGCGCGTCATGAGATATATATCGCGAAAGCAGAGTGTTTCTTCCAGAGTTTGCTTTTGTGACATGTTCCACCCAAAGTGAAAAGTTGACTCCATCCCCCCCTTGGACTTGTTTTGGGGAAAATCCACAGAACAGAAACAGGCAAGTTATTGAAAGTATTTTTAATGCATTGAGAGAGAGAGAGAAAAGATTTTCGGTTGTTTCTTGCCAAGTTACTGGAGCGCGAAGATTGTTCAACAGCGAATCTCTATTTGCTGAATTTACTTAAACTCCCACTTCATTTTTTGCTCAATGTTTCACTGGCGGAGATGGAAGAAGAAGAAAAAAATCACTTTAGCTTACTCGAGAGGAAGAATTCTTTGGCAAAAGTTGGAGAAATTACGAGTAATCGAATATGATTTTCTCAAGAGTAATTCGCCAAAGTGTCAGAAAAATGAGTTTGAAGTGTTTTAAAAGGTGTTCCATAGCGAAAAGTCAACATTTACAGCATATTCAGAGTTTTCTCCTACATTGTGAAACATTTTTTTCTTGTTCGCACAGGGATAAAGCGAGGTGTTAATTTGCAATGGCACTCTTTGAAGTGGCATATGCTATTACTTTGCACATAGTTTCATGACGAGGCAGTTCACTTCTCGGGAATTTCCCAAGTTTTCGCAAATATGCTGGGAAGTTAGATGAAAATTGACCGCTGCAAACTATTAAGTGGAGTGGTATTTGCCGACCTACGGCATCCGCCATGCCATTAGAGTTGCGGCTAAATGAAGAGGCCTTTTAAGGAGATCAAGTGTTGTGGGCGCACTTTCGCTATTCTATCCATTTGTCACAACTCCGTGAACTATCACTCTTCTCTTTTCAATTTGGCTACAGTGGCGATAAATCAGTGATTTTTCCGGGACTTTTATTCTGCGACCGTCTCGCAAGCTTCTCTTGGATGGCATTGCATACAAATCATTGGCACAGACAATCTCTGCATGGGATTCCCAGCACAACTGTCAATGCAAAGATAAGGGTTGGTTATTTACAAACACTTTCTGATTTATAGTACGTGGCCATAATACAGTGGATTGCCTCGCGTGCACGAAGCAATATTGGCAATTTTTGATTGCACCGCCGTAAAATGGTAATTCCGTATGAGGTTTTGATGCTATCTGGCTGGGATTGGATTACTTTTCAATCCTCCGGGTGGGATTTGACAGGTGTCAGAAGTAAGAATAGCGATCCCTTTGAAGCGCATTCTGGAGATAAACGGATTGACTTGGAGTACAAATTTAACAGTAATCTTGCGTCTTGGCGAAATTTATGGAGCCTCGAGACTGGATAAGTGGCACAGAATGAATGGCGCGAAGGGTGAAAGTGGGTGCTGAGTGTAGACAAGTGAAAATTTACCATGTAAATTGTAGAAAATCCACCCCATGCTTGGAGGAGTCCCATTGAAATGTATGTATATAGCCGTGAGTGTCTCTATTTTTTCGTCGTTATTAAATTTACTCCGTGGAGCCCAGGCGGAGAGCGAGTGGAAGAGAAATTAATTATCCAATCCAGCAGCATCGCAACAGAGTGGATGTATTGAAGAAAATGGTTGTGAGCCGGAGATTTATACGTACTTTTGTGTATGGCACAGAGTAGCATCGTCACAAGAATGTACCCTTGAGTCCGGCTCGTTGTTGTCTCCATATTTTCTGTGAAGCGGAGCATATTCTCAGTATCAACCCCATCCACACCTTCACTCACACACGGGATTACACTCTTTGCTTGTGATTTACTCTCCTGTCGCAGAGGCACAAGACTTTCAGCACTGAATTAATTCAATTACACTTAAACACTGTGTAAAATTCAGCGTGTGTTTTTTTTCTCCCTCCGACACTACATCCTTTCCCAACTTGTGCTTAGGATCCACCACCACTTCCCTGAGCGGATAAAACACACTCCTTTTTTCCCTGTTAGCTTCTGGGGATTTCACAGGAGGGATTTTCCCAGGATTTCCACTCACTTTTCACCTCCTTGAGTTTCATCCACTATTGAATATTCGCCGACGGGTTGGGGTGGGTGGCAAAAAAATCGGGGGGATGCTGAGGAATTTTCCAAATAAATTCTCTGGCAAGATGCCACACAAAATCCGTGTCTATTTCACTTGTGAGCGCCTCGGCGGGCGGGGGGCGGGCCTGAGGAAATGGGGAGACAAGAGGAATATTTTCACTTTTCACTCTGGTGACACACACATGAAGCTGACTCGGGAAAGTGACGAAGATCCATCCAATTTATTGACATTCCTCCTGCACATCTCAGTTCTATTGACGCGCGTCAGCCGCGTGAGTGCCCACAGACTTCTGGTTGTTCCCCACACGAGTGTACATTTGGTACTGAGCTGAGGCACACAATTGGGGACGGACGGCTTGGGCTGGGGAAGCGTCATGGGCGTTTGACGCAAACGCAGACTTTCCCCAGCGGAATGGTGGGTGCCAGATCGACAGGAGATGCGATGTCACGAGCGCTGTGAGGCTCCAGAAGAGGACATTCTTGGCGGTTTTTCCCAGAATTTCCCGCAGCATTCGCACAAAATTGCTCCAAATGAATTTTCCCCCGGGGAGACTAACTCCAATCCAGCCTTTTTCCCGCCAAAATTCCCCACCCCGACATTTGTCCCATCGCGCGAAAATCCCCACAGTCTATTTTCCATGCAAATGCACTGGCAAAGAGAGGAGCGAACGTGAGTTTTCCTAAACAAATTGCCTGTCGCGTGAGAGTCATGTTAGTGCGACGTGTGCAGGCTAAATATAATATATATTGACAAGTGATTATGTTATTTCCACACATCAATCAGACACTTTGTCACATAATTTAATGAAAGTCACCAAAACTCGCTCAGCTCCCACAGCCCTCAATTCAAAATTGCCATTCAATGGAAAATTGCTCGTGGAATTGAAAAGCAACATTTGGTTGATTGTACATGAAACCACATGTGGAAAACGTTGAAATCACTTTCGATATGGGGAAAAGCACGGATGGAATTCCCCCGGAAAAGCAACACAGAGAAAGGCATCTTATTCAGCCCAGTGTTGAAGAGACTCCGGCAAACAAACCATATATTGATGAAAGAGTCAAAGAACTTATGTGGTTTACCTCCTATGTAAATACACTTTGTGTTACTTAAAGTTTCATCTATATTTGCACAGAGCTGGGATTCTAGGAATTTGTCAATTTGCTAAATTCCTCTCTCGACTTATTCCATCCATTCTTTGTGTTTTGGCTGCAGAAGCCATCTACTTAATGAGGGGCCAAATAAAAGCATAAACACTGCCAAATTAAATGCTGATGACTGCTTTGTCTCCCTTCAGAAGGGCATGAAGAATTTCTGGAAAGTCGAGTGAATGACGTTATGAGGACATTTCTGCTCTATTTCCACGCAAATGTTTAATCCTTGTCAATAAATTCACGCGAAATCCGTGCAAATTAATTCGAATCGCATCTAGTGCAGTCTGAAATGTTCTCATTTGAATTTGAGGAACTTGTGCATCCTCTCTGCAGGTGGGAGGGCATGATTAAATCACGACAAATGCAAATTAATACACTGTGTAATCACATTCTGTTAACGTAAGTTCCCATTGATTAATTTCAGCTTCATCAGCTATGAATTTTGTGATTTTCCGCAGAGAAATTTGTAGACCTTTTATTTAATGTCTATTTGTTTTTCTGTTTGTTTTTTTTCAGAGCCCTGGCAAAAACCGCAATACAATTTGGCAGAATTTCCCGAGGAGTATCAAGGAAACTGATTAATTTTTAATTGTTGAAACGCGCATGAGTTTTGTTACAGCGAGACTGCAAAATTTATTTATTTCGCTGGCATTTTAATGTAATTTACTTTGCTCCACGTCGGGTCGCTGTAAGTGGACTTCATGCACTCGAAGAGAGTTGAAATTCATTAGCATCTAGATCAAATATTCATGATCTCGATTGCGCGGTTACTTGGCTGCATAGAATCCATGACAGTGAGGTATTCATCAAGGCCCGGCTTTTCCATCTCGCAGAGCATCTCAAATATTCACACAGACATCCCAAAATTCTCAATATTCTCACCCTCGGGACACAATGGCTCGGCATAGAGTTATTTAATGAGGGTACTTTCATTATTAAAAATTTTTATTATACCTCTAATACCACTATTTATGCTTGACTAAAGCTCCCCAAGATACTCCCCATTCTAATCGTATTACAAGTTGAGCCACAGGAAATGGATGGCAAGTGGAGGCGCCTGGTGAAACTAAGTCCCAGGGGAAAATTCTCCCATGTGCACAGTTTTCCTGTAGATGTGCGCCTCATAAGGATGGCGATAATTAGTTAAGTATCGCCGATTATTTCTCCGAATAATTAATTTTCTCAGGCAAAATTTCACAAATCCCATCCGCCAACTCGTCTGATCTTCAAAGGGAATCACACATTTGCCGCAGAATTTAATTTCATCTCGCACAGGAAAATGGCAAAAGACAGAGGAGAAGCGCGTCTCAAGAGCACGGAGGTAGATTCGAAAATTCATTTTGTGAGAAGAAATACCACTGATTTGTGGAAAATATACTTTTGTATTTTTAATGCCACGAAAAAAAAGTCTTCATTTCCCTTTTTTATGCCATGGCGTGTGTACCGCACAATGTGGGAAAATGAACTCATGGTTTTTACAAGTCAATCAATTTCACAAATTGATTTTGTATATCCCCGCACTCTCGCAGGAAATTCTCCTCCACTTGATGGAAGAGAAATTGCTGGGACTTTTGGGTGAAATCCCATCACTCATTCTTGATTTCCCACAACCCCACCATCGGGTCCCAAATAGGGTGATGATGAATCCAGCAGACTGAGTGAGTGCGAGAGGAAAAAAGCCCAACCTCAGCCAAATATCTAATTACGGGAATTACATCGGAAAAATCAGCCCACATGCAATTTGGCCAATTAGGTAAACGTGCCGGCTTAACTGCTGCCGAAACAATATATTCTGCATATGCTGGGGAGCATGTAAATCCAAGGGGGTGTTCTCCGACACCCACTGGGATTGCCGTGTGTTTCCTTCCTGCATCTCAATGGAGGGCATAAATAAAGTATTTTCAACATTGATTGAACGATAATAATTCTGAGAAAATTCTATTGTACCTCGTGTTTGTTAGCATTTTTTATTCATGTACACAAATTTACATACACTGGCCAGCACAATTCTAGGACTCTGCGCACGTGGTTTGCAGTATTTATTGAATTGAAAGTAATATTTAACAGTCCTTTGGCCGGCAAAGTGTCCAGAGTGTGATCACAATATATAGCAAATAATCTCGCCAGGCGTGAAGTGACAAAGCAAAATGTCTCTCGGAGTCAATATTTCACCTGAAAGCTGATGCAGACAACAACATATTCCCAGAATGACATCGGAAACGTTGAGTCGTGAAAAATTCTGTGAAATGCTCGACATGGCATTTCTCCTTGCCAAGAAATCAGTGACTTGTGAAGCGACCGTAGATCTCTTCGGGCCACTATATTTGCGCCCATGTTCGCCGTACCCGCTGAAAGGAATAAAAATTCAAACTTCCACCAGATGTTTTCCTCCCCAACTGACAATCTCGCCGCACTTTCCCGCAGGGGTTGCGGTGAGAAAGCAAAGGGACACACACACACAGATTGAAGGAGTGTCACGCGAGAGGAAACTTCGCGCTTAATCAGACAGGAAGCTCAGGATCTGTGAATTTTTCACCCCCTGAGATCTTTGGTGGGTGGGGTTTTTGTCAAAGAGAATGCCGAGTTAATTAATTCACAATATTAAATATTTTCTCTCTCTCTGCCGCACATAGTGCTCAAAGTTGGGGGTAATTGAAAGTATATAGAGGTGAATTGCCCGTCCCATAGCGACACTGGGTGCCAAAAGTGCGAAAGAGGGAATTAAATGTGAATGCGAGTTGAAGAAAAGCAAATGGAATGTATAATTAGAATGATTCTCATTATACCTGACAATTTATGTGAAACCATTTCATGTTTAATCATTATCAGGAATCTTCGTCTCGGCGCTTTGAGGGTGGAATTCCATCTCTTATCTCGCATCGCTGTTTGTACTTCACTCCTCACCTCCCGATTTGTGACAAGAAGACGACCAGAATATGGAGATGCTATCGTGCGTCGCTATTGTAATAAGGTAAATGCGTATATAATTGGATTCATATCTTGCCTTTTGGATCAAGACAGAAGGAATGCGACCAGCATGTCGCCTACAGATCCAATTTTCTTTCGCTCCAGACCGAACGCAGAGGGAAGAAAGTATAGAAATGGCAACTTTTCAGCTTGCATTTGAAACACACACCGCTGACAGTGAATGCCAGCAACATTGGAATAATGCTATTTGATATATTTGCAATAATTTCCTTTGACGATCTCGTAAGAGTGAATGTTTGTGGGGATAAAAAGAGAGAAATTTTCAATTCTCCACCACCCTAGCATGTTGCCTTTGCCGCTTCCTACAATCGTTCGCCATTTCTTTGCCTCTTGGCTAACACGAGCGAGTCCCTCAAGGGGCAGCCTATCAACGCGGAAGTGATGTACCTACTTACGACGAGGGGCCAAGCATCCCCCGAAATCCATGTCTCTCGCCGGAATCTTGAGAAGAAGTGCAAGAGAAAAAAAAACCTCAATCAATACAGAATCATTCTATCTATATATTTACTTCCATGCATCCTTTAAAGTCCGAATGACGATCCCTTTGTGCACGCTTCAATAAAGTAGCCATGAAAATTGATGTTCAGAAACATCCCCGGGATTTGGGGTGAACTTCCTCAATTCTTCTTATTATGAGGCATGTTTTTCAAGCCATCGTCTCGCCCCAAATTCAATAGGTAAAGATAAACTGTGTGCGACGTACACTACCCACTCCACTGCGGCCTCCCTTGTGGCCTCCTTGAGAATTGTCTGCGTGTGGAATTTTGTTGGGTGGCGGGGTGGAAGGTGGAAAAATGCCTTTTGTCTATTTCCATCCGCCAAAAATATGCTTTTCGATGTAATGTGGAAATACACCATGCACATCTTCATTCTGTTAGGGGTGGAGTTATTTACCAGACGAGAGCACATGAATTTATTGCTGGCTCAGAGATTTCTTCATGGTGATATCAGTGAGAGAAAATTGCATAATATTTCAAAAGTGTCCCCTAAAGCCGGAGGAAATTGTGTGAAAGTGTGGGCAGAAAATTTGGCGCCAATTTCGCCGCACCATGGAGTGAAATTCAACTCGATTGTTTATTTAATTACCCACCTCGGTGTTTTCTCAGCATTTGCAACTCATGTATATTTTATCAGAGGTGCGAGGGGGGGTCGGAGCGGGGCCGGGA